AAAAAAAAAAAAAAAAAAAAAAAAAAAAAACAGAAACGCTCTCTACATACGTCCATTTATTTAACAGATCTCTGAGCACATATTAAATGCCAAATATCTACTTGGCATCTCTTTTTGGAAGTCTCAAGGGTTCCCAAGCTTCTCATGTCCAAAACTGAGTACACAGTCTTCTTTCCAAACCTTCCAGGGTGTTCTAGCTCTGTGAATGGTACCAGCATCCATCAGATTGTCTAGCAAGCATACCTAAAACACGTCCTTGGAGCTCACCTCAATACCCTTCCCTTGAACTCTCAGAGTCAATTTACCATCAAGCTCTGCTAATTGTTCCTTCTAGATACCTCAGCATCTCTGCACATTTCGCATTTCTACTACCTATACAGCCCCTGTAACTCACGTGGCAACCATCTCTCTCCCAGGCGCCTCCCACTGGCCCACCTGCACTCACCCTCTGGTCTCTGCACACACTCAGGTACTGAGACTCTCCCTCGAGGCGGCCTCTCCTGACTCCCTGGCCATACTGCCCTCCAACACCAGGAGATTTGCTCACAGGAGCCCCTCGCTCCTTACACACATATGATTAGCATGTCACTATTCTCTGCAGAGTTCCATGATCGGTGCCGGGATTGCTCATTAACTAGAAGCTCCACAAGGCAAAAACCCAACTTTGCACCTCACCTACTTTATGGCCTCGGGTGACTGATGTTCCTCCCCTGAAATTCATTTTTCTCAACCACAAAAACAGGAAATAGCTAAGTTACCTGAAAAGTGACTTCCAGCTATGAAAGTCTGTGAATTCGTTGGATATCTATAGCAATATCTACCTATGTATGTATATATATATATATAGATATATATAGATATATCCATACCCATATTTACACATATATGTGTGTTCATTTATTTAGGGAGACAGGTACACACACGTGCACACACACACAGGTACACACACGTGCACGCACACACACACACACACACACAGACTCAGGAATCAATACAACTAGCTTTGACTCCCCTCTCCAGAGGTTTCCTATGTGCTATGATGCATTATTCTCTCTGTCGTCTGGGTACCACAGAAGCAATACATCATAGGACCACAAACTTGATTACGTTATTCAGTATTCCACTCGCTGGAGATTTACTGAGTGCCTACTCTTTGATGGCTACTAGGATGGCTCTGGACCCTCCAACGTGAAAGACTTGGGGGGGGCACTGAATGTTCCCCTCAGCCATACTAATTCCAGTGAGATCATTTTCTCGACTTGGCATGGCACCATTCATGCCGTAGTAGCATTAGGCTCTCTACCTGAATTCTCCAGGTCCTTGTAAGCTTCGGCCCAAGACTTGGCCATGTTGGCCAGCGTGTACTCCATGATCTGGATGTCGGTGATGGGGCAGTTGCACTGCGGGAACTCTTCGGCACACTGGCATCTACACTGGCTGTTCTGGCACACGTATTCCCCCTCTCCGTTGCACATGATGTAGCTCAAGGCTGATTGGACAAATTTCTCTTGCAGATACTGAGGGAAGATGATCTGAAGACCTGTTTGAGAGTAGCAAGGAGGGGAAAAGGAAAGGTCAGAAAAGGTGTTTCATTAACAGTTTCGAGAGGTGATGCGTAGGACTCCGAAGCTGCTAGCTTTCTCTTTGTGTAACCAAACTATTTCTGGGCCTGCCTAGATCCACACAGGGCATAATTGGCGAGGCCTCCAGTTGCCTTTCTTCTAGTTAAACTTCTCAGGTCATGACCTTGGCCATCTCTGCACTGCATACTCTATTCCGTGATATTAGGACTGAAGCTAGAGCCAGATCTGTTAATATACCTTCTCCATTTTGGGAGAAAACCCTTATTGAAAGCACAAGATTGCCGTTTATTTTTCCTTATTTCCTTCTTTTCTTTCCTTTTCCTTTCATCTAATATTTATGAACCCTATTTATGAGGCACAAGCCCTGAGCTAGGCACTAGGTCTACAGAGATAAAAAAGACATGATCTTTGCCCTTGGGGAGTTTATAATATAATCAGACATGGACACACATCATCATAACATAGCTTTATAGACCCAGAGCAGAGCCGGCCATACGAGGTAACTGGACAGCAGAAGGCTGCAAATAGCATTGCTGGGATAGCAGGGAAACTTTTGCAGGGGAGCTGATATTTGGGCTGGTTGAAAAGTGAATAAGAGATCATTATGTAAAAAAGAACAGGAAGCATACTCTAAAGAGAGGGGTAGCAAGAACTAAGACTTAACATGTCTGGGAGTTGCTGGTGAACGAAATGAATTTGATGGGTGGGGTTGCAGTGCTGAAGGAGAACGGGTTTTAGAAAAGGGCAGATGCCAGAGTGCAAAGGTCGTTTTATTATATGCTAAGGAACTTGGACTCCATCCTGTGAATAATGGGAATGCTTTGGTAGTTTCCTGGGTAAGGATGATATAAACAGAGTTATATAATTTAACGGGACCATGGTATCACTCACACATACACATAAATATCAGTGGAGAATGGCATCCAATTAAATTAATTCTCTCTTCTTTGCTTCAAAATGATGAAGGCAAAGCCCACCAAGAGGAAATGAGTAGCTCATGGCTGTAAGATGAGTACTGTTGACCACATCTCATGATTTTTTCTCTACACTTGACTAATCAAAGTCCTAAGCCAGAGGGCCAATGATGGAGAAAGATTTACCTGGGCATGAGTACTAACTACTCTTGTACCTATGAAATGTCAGCCCAGCAGGCCAGCGCCTATGGTGCCCAGAAAAAAGGACAACTCTGGGCTAAATTAATTAATTCAAGCACTTTTGCCTGGGACATTTCTCTCCACCTCATTTGGAGCTGCCAACGGTTTTTGCCACCAGTGCATATTGGGGTAATGGTTTTACTACCCACTGTGTAAAAGAGAACTGTGCTATTTGGATTAAATTTTTTTCTCATTCCTGC